CCAATGCCTGTCGACACGGCGGCTTAGAGCCACCTTCTCTCCTATGTTGGTGCAGACAGGCACCGTCAGTTGCACTTTCATCATATCTTTCTTCACTCCTAGAACCTTAGCTCCCGCCGACATCGACCCGATGTTCACCATCAGTATCTCTCCCTTGCTTAGCTTTGCCACTTTCATCTGCTTCTCTTTTTCCTTTGTCCTCACCCCAATAAGACGGGTCAGAAGCTGGAAACTCACCTCAAGCTCAACATACACATCAGGGAGAGAACCCATTTCACCAAGCACTTGACCAACCAACCTATCAGCACGCGTGAGCGTAGGGTCCATCGTTGTCCCAACTCCGATCAGACCTCCCGGCACAGCAAACTGAAGCTCGTTCTGTTCTGCGTACAATGAAGTGATACGGGAGTAAATGGGAGAGCACCTTGGGTTTCCAAGCTCATCTTTGCTAACGATACCAGGTCGGATCTCAATCAATTGGTTTACTTTCAAAACACCCTGCAAACAAAGCAAAGATCAAATTGGACCATGCAATACAAACAAAGGGAACGCAATTATATACTAAATTGTTTAAGCAGAAGCTACCCAAGCATGATAAAAGTCGTTTAGTTTGTTTTCCTAATGTTTTGCCCATTGATAACAATTCAATGGAGGACTGCAGAAATGAAACTATACAAAATTCCAGCGAGATGGCAAGATAATTTGAACACAGTCCAAGGTAAATGAAGAGAAGAGGATCAATACCCGGAAGATACTTCCACCTGCAACTCCACCTTTAATATCAGTAACCTCATAGCCAGGTTTATTGACATCAAAAGAACGAATGATTATCATCTTTGGCGGTGACACAAAATCCCTTTTAGGGATTGGAATCTTCTTGACAATGTACTCGCACACAGCATCAATGTTGTATTTCAGTTGTGCTGAGACAGGAACTATAGGGGCACCCTCAGCATTTGTGTTCTGCAACAGGTTTGTAGCTTAACCAACTGATGAAGAAAATATGCAACAAGAGATTTTTTAGAGATGAGAAAATTCAAACCGTTATAAATCGCTGAATTGCTGTGTGCTGTTCGATGGCGGCTTTTTCTTGAATGAGATCAATCTTGTTCTGAAGGATTATAATATGCTTAAGGTGCATCATATCGACGGAAGCAAGGTGTTCAGCTGTCTGTGGTTGAGGACAGACCTCATTCGCAGCAATTAAAAGTAGAGCACCATCCATGATGGCGGCCCCATTGAGCATTGTGGCCATGAGAATATCATGTCCCTGTTGAGAAAACAGAAATCACCTCAATGGTTATAGGAGAAGTAAAAGTTTCTACTTTTTTTTGAAATATGCATCTGAGAAGTGTAAAACTCATCATACCGGGCAATCCACAAAGGAGACATGCCTCAGTAGCTTCATCTTGCAGTTCTCAAATCCAGGGACATCGCAATTTGGGTTGTCTTCTTTCCCACTCCCATAAGACCTAGAAAAATAACAGATAAGTTGCTAGCTAACCTCATATACATCAAAAGAAGATATAAAGCAATCCAGAACAGAACTCACTTGTAGCACATTGGTCTAGGGCACTTGTTATCCTCACATTGGTAAATCTTGGCATTTGCATATCCAAGTTTAATGGTAATGTTACGCTCCAATTCATTCTTAAAACGGACAGTCTGCAGAAACAATTGATATCAAGTTAGAAGAACCTCTAGTGACAGAAAAGAAGTTCATTAGAAAAAGAAAATAGTCCACTACCTGCACACCAGAAATAGCTTTCACAACCGTAGACTTTCCGTGTGCAACATGTCCAATGGTTCCTGAGATATAGACCACAGTTATAATTTTAGCTTCGGTGCACTCTCAGCTTATATAGACCCAGAGCCTCGACTGAAACTTAAATAAAGCAGAAATTACCTATGTTTATGGTTGCCTGGCGAGATATGACCTCGGGAGACAGAGGATGTAGCTCATTTACATCAAGCTTACTTAGATCTTGTTCAGCTAAACCCTTGTTCCGCCCCATTATGACAAAAAGGAACCGCCTTTATCCTGCTAAAAGCAGAATCAATCAAAATTTCAGAATCGTCGCCACCGGTAAGCTAAAGACGATTCTAAGGTGCCCCGAAACCTTAGGGCTTCTATACAGCAATAGTAATGAAAATCCATTGCCTAAACATGAAAACAACTGATTTACTTTGAGATCGACAAACCTGATGGATGGTTGGAGGCTTGAAGCGGATTGGCGAAAATAATGAAGTTCGCTTGGAGAAATTTTATACAAGTAGAAGAAAAATACAAGTCGGCGTTGAAGGTCTTTTATACGGTCAAAGTTAGGGTTTTTTTACTATTTCTTTTTCCTTTTCCAAACCTTCCTCCATTTATTTATTGAAACTAGGTGAGTGTGGGTTTTTTTTATCTTCTTCTTATTTTTTAATACTTGTCTATTTCTTCTACCCCTAGTATTAGGCCTGGAAGAAATATCCGGAATCCGCAGATATCCGTTATCCGATCTGTAAAACAGGATATTCGGGTGATACGGATCCAGATCCGGATAATGTAAAATTTTTGAAACGGATAACGGATATCCGGAGTTACAGTAAACGGGCTTTAAAAAGCTTAACGCCCATATACTGTAAGCCTTATTACTTTAAATATCTACATCTTATTAACTAAAAATATCTGAACAAATTTACAAGCCCATAAGCCCATTAGTAATCTGACAGGAAAATAGGGTTTTGACTTGGAAACTTTCACCCTTTCCTCCACGTTTGGCCTCCATCGACGCCTCTCAGCCCTAGAGTTTCAGTTTTTTTTTCTTCATGAAATCGAAACATGATTTTTATCGAAAGACAAGAGAGGATCTTTGTGATTGTTGAAATCGATCGTTGAAGGTGTCGTTAGCGTTTCCCGTACCCAGTAAAACCCGATTTAGAAGTAGAGACCGCCGATCTGAGATAACTATGGTGGGGTTTGTGGACATGGATGAAGAGCTGGTGGCCGAGGAGGCAACGACAGCCATCGCCACCGATATCCAGCGTGAAAAGGTCGGCGTCTCTAGGTCTTTTTGTGGAAGAGGGAAAGGGGAAAAAAAACCGGATCACGATATCCGAATTTTTTCACGGATATTTCGATCCGGATATCCGGATCCGTTACATGCTTACCTAGTATACGTAGACATTTTCAAAAAAAAAAAATGAGACAAAATTTGGTTTGTGTGAGAAGATTGATTTACTAAAAATTTTATTTAATGTTGTGCTTGTGGAGGTGTATACCCAACCTATGAGATTTTTTTTGGGATCTCTCTTAACTTTATCTATTACACAAAAAAACAATTTCTCTATTTTACTATTCTTCTATGTTTCTTTAATACTATCATTCTACTACTTCTTTTTTTCCTTCATCTGAATTTTATTAAAATTACCACGGTGGAATACTTGGTAAAATACAAACATAAGCTCGCGGAAGACAAGATTTTTCCGAAGTCATAAGCCCAAAAAACGGAAGCATGCTACTAGTACCATGAAGCAGAAGGGTAAAGCGGTAGGAGAGTTAAACTATAGAGTATATTAGTCATAATGTCTTAAAAGACATAATTGTAATTAGTTAATCCCTAATCATAAGGTTGTGTCTTAGTATATATATGTACATTACTCTTCTAATAAAGATAACACATTCACAATCTATATGATATCAGAATTCACGATAACCTAAACTTACTTTTTTTTCAAAACACAACCTAGCCGCCTGTCATGTCTTCCTACGGCCTCCTAGCCACCACAGACGAAGCTATCGTCCTAACCCCTCAAACACTTTTCAACATTAACACATCTAATGTCACCAAACTCACCTTTACCAACTACCTAATGTGGAGCCTTCAGATCCATGCCTTGCTTGATGGGTATGATCTCGCGGGATATCTTGATGACTCAATCGATATTCCCGCACCAACAGTCACTGCTAACGATGTTGTCAAGGTCAATCCGGCGTTCACTCTCTGGAAAAAGCAAGACAAACTCATTTTCAGTGCGTCAATTGGAGCAATCTCTCCAGCCATCCTCGAGCTCCTCAGTAGACAAACTCCAATGCTTACCCCTAGCTGTCAATATAAGTAAACCAAACAATAATTTTATGGATTTTAATCCGCCGGATTTATAGTTTTAGTGTCCGGATCGAAATATCCGTGAAAAAATTCGGATATCGTGATCCGGTTTTTTTTTCCCCTTTCCCTCTTCCACAAAAAGACCTAGAGACGCCGACCTTTTCACGCTGGATATCGGTGGCGATGGCTGTCGTTGCCTCCTCGGCCACCAGCTCTTCATCCATGTCCACAAACCCCACCATAGTTATCTCAGATCGGCGGTCTCTACTTCTAAATCGGGTTTTACTGGGTACAGGAAACGCTAACGACACCTTCAACGATCGATTTCAACAATCACAAAGATCCTCTCTTGTCTTTCGATAAAAATCATGTTTCGATTTCATGAAGAAAAAAAAACTGAAACTCTAGGGCTGAGAGGCGTCGATGGAGGCCAAACGTGGAGGAAAGGGTGAAAGTTTCCAAGTCAAAACCCTATTTTCCTGTCAGATTACTAATGGGCTTATGGGCTTGTAAATTTGTTCAGATATTTTTAGTTAATAAGATGTAGATATTTAAAGTAATAAGGCTTACAGTATATGGGCGTTAAGCTTTTTAAAGCCCGTTTACTGTAACTCCGGATATCCGTTATCCGTTTCAAAAATTTTACATTATCCGGATCTGGATCCGTATCACCCGAATATCCTGTTTTACAGATCGGATAACGGATATCTGCGGATTCCGGATATTTCTTCCAGGCCTAATACTAGGGGTAGAAGAAATAGACAAGTATTAAAAAATAAGAAGAAGATAAAAAAAACCCACACTCACCTAGTTTCAATAAATAAATGGAGGAAGGTTTGGAAAAGGAAAAAGAAATAGTAAAAAAACCCTAACTTTGACCGTATAAAAGACCTTCAACGCCGACTTGTATTTTTCTTCTACTTGTATAAAATTTCTCCAAGCGAACTTCATTATTTTCGCCAATCCGCTTCAAGCCTCCAACCATCCATCAGGTTTGTCGATCTCAAAGTAAATCAGTTGTTTTCATGTTTAGGCAATGGATTTTCATTACTATTGCTGTATAGAAGCCCTAAGGTTTCGGGGCACCTTAGAATCGTCTTTAGCTTACCGGTGGCGACGATTCTGAAATTTTGATTGATTCTGCTTTTAGCAGGATAAAGGCGGTTCCTTTTTGTCATAATGGGGCGGAACAAGGGTTTAGCTGAACAAGATCTAAGTAAGCTTGATGTAAATGAGCTACATCCTCTGTCTCCCGAGGTCATATCTCGCCAGGCAACCATAAACATAGGTAATTTCTGCTTTATTTAAGTTTCAGTCGAGGCTCTGGGTCTATATAAGCTGAGAGTGCACCGAAGCTAAAATTATAACTGTGGTCTATATCTCAGGAACCATTGGACATGTTGCACACGGAAAGTCTACGGTTGTGAAAGCTATTTCTGGTGTGCAGGTAGTGGACTATTTTCTTTTTCTAATGAACTTCTTTTCTGTCACTAGAGGTTCTTCTAACTTGATATCAATTGTTTCTGCAGACTGTCCGTTTTAAGAATGAATTGGAGCGTAACATTACCATTAAACTTGGATATGCAAATGCCAAGATTTACCAATGTGAGGATAACAAGTGCCCTAGACCAATGTGCTACAAGTGAGTTCTGTTCTGGATTGCTTTATATCTTCTTTTGATGTATATGAGGTTAGCTAGCAACTTATCTGTTATTTTTCTAGGTCTTATGGGAGTGGGAAAGAAGACAACCCAAATTGCGATGTCCCTGGATTTGAGAACTGCAAGATGAAGCTACTGAGGCATGTCTCCTTTGTGGATTGCCCGGTATGATGAGTTTTACACTTCTCAGATGCATATTTCAAAAAAAAGTAGAAACTTTTACTTCTCCTATAACCATTGAGGTGATTTCTGTTTTCTCAACAGGGACATGATATTCTCATGGCCACAATGCTCAATGGGGCCGCCATCATGGATGGTGCTCTACTTTTAATTGCTGCGAATGAGGTCTGTCCTCAACCACAGACAGCTGAACACCTTGCTTCCGTCGATATGATGCACCTTAAGCATATTATAATCCTTCAGAACAAGATTGATCTCATTCAAGAAAAAGCCGCCATCGAACAGCACACAGCAATTCAGCGATTTATAACGGTTTGAATTTTCTCATCTCTAAAAAATCTCTTGTTGCATATTTTCTTCATCAGTTGGTTAAGCTACAAACCTGTTGCAGAACACAAATGCTGAGGGTGCCCCTATAGTTCCTGTCTCAGCACAACTGAAATACAACATTGATGCTGTGTGCGAGTACATTGTCAAGAAGATTCCAATCCCTAAAAGGGATTTTGTGTCACCGCCAAAGATGATAATCATTCGTTCTTTTGATGTCAATAAACCTGGCTATGAGGTTACTGATATTAAAGGTGGAGTTGCAGGTGGAAGTATCTTCCGGGTATTGATCCTCTTCTCTTCATTTACCTTGGACTGTGTTCAAATTATCTTGCCATCTCGCTGGAATTTTGTATAGTTTCATTTCTGCAGTCCTCCATTGAATTGTTATCAATGGGCAAAACATTAGGAAAACAAACTAAACGACTTTTATCATGCTTGGGTAGCTTCTGCTTAAACAATTTAGTATATAATTGCGTTCCCTTTGTTTGTATTGCATGGTCCAATTTGATCTTTGCTTTGTTTGCAGGGTGTTTTGAAAGTAAACCAATTGATTGAGATCCGACCTGGTATCGTTAGCAAAGATGAGCTTGGAAACCCAAGGTGCTCTCCCATTTACTCCCGTATCACTTCATTGTACGCAGAACAGAACGAGCTTCAGTTTGCTGTGCCGGGAGGTCTGATCGGAGTTGGGACAACGATGGACCCTACGCTCACGCGTGCTGATAGGTTGGTTGGTCAAGTGCTTGGTGAAATGGGTTCTCTCCCTGATGTGTATGTTGAGCTTGAGGTGAGTTTCCAGCTTCTGACCCGTCTTATTGGGGTGAGGACAAAGGAAAAAGAGAAGCAGATGAAAGTGGCAAAGCTAAGCAAGGGAGAGATACTGATGGTGAACATCGGGTCGATGTCGGCGGGAGCTAAGGTTCTAGGAGTGAAGAAAGATATGATGAAAGTGCAACTGACGGTGCCTGTCTGCACCAACATAGGAGAGAAGGTGGCTCTAAGCCGCCGTGTCGACAGGCATTGGCGTTTGATTGGTCGTGGTCAGATTGAGGCTGGAACCACCGTTCCCGTCCCTCCTCCTCCTAGTTTCTGATTAGCTGCTTGAGAATATCAATAATTTGCATCCAGGTTTATTTGCATCATAATATGCATCTCTGAATAAGTCACAGGGGGGTAACTGATAGTCTCTGAATTTATTTGCACCATAATATCAATAATTTTGCATCTAGGTTTGCTAGATAAGTCCCAGGGATATAACTAGATTTCCAGGCGTTTGTGCCGTTACTTTGACTTGCTGATAAATTGCATCATATTTATGTTTTTAGATCGTACTGTTGTTTGTAAAAGTTTGTGGTTATTGAATATTGATGGAATTATGTTTGGACGATATGCTCTGTTTCTTTGTCTCCTGCGTTATTTTGACATGGGATGCATATTTTAATTGTGTTTACGTTCTTTAGTTTTTAAAATTAGCGATCTCATTTAGCCAAATAAAAATATTTAGTAATCTCACTTAGCCAAATAAATTATTTAAGCATAAAACAACTACTCTCGTACAACTAACTCTAGGACACATGACTGAAGCGGGAGATTTCTGTGAGGAACCTTGGTTCTCTTATTGTCAAGAGACTGTACTTCTGATCCAAGTCTTGAAAGACACTTTGTGCCCTTTGAAGGTGTCGTTATAGTTAACGGACAAATGCCAAGGAGAGATTTCTGCAGTCAAAAGTGAATTAGCTGGTGCAGAGCCCATTGCAAACACACTGTGTGTGACAAGTTATTCCTAATCTAAAGACCGGGTTTGATAATCGATATTGACTTCGCTATAATTGACAGTCTACGAATCATATAAAATATATGGTACCATTTGTTTTATCTTCATAACCTGGCATTCACTTCATTGGCTTCCAAATTTGGTTATTCCGCAAGTGCTTTGGTTCTTCAGTCCGGTGATCCATAGTTTCTAGCTAAATATCTGCTGTAGTCGTCTTCTATTTTTCGCATTCAGCATCTGATTCCAACATTAAAATGAGAGAACGGTGTGAAACTTATTCTCTCTTACAGAATAAGCAAAACACATTTTAAACAGGAAGGTCGAGATCAGGACTTGCTGACCTCTTTCTCACTCTAGTGACCCTAGCTCAAAGGTCAAACATCTGCTGTAGGTGCGCCTTTTAATTAAGTTTGGACCTGAGCAACTAAAGCTTACTGGCCTAGCTAGGCAGCTACTGTTTATTCTCATCTATGACGAATTCTTCTCATCTTCTTTCGCATGTACGCAACAACTAATGCATATTCTCTTCAATAGCTCCTTAGAATCTTTTCACGTAGTCTCCGGAACATATCACAATATAGGACTATAGGAAAAGAAAACATCCATGTAAGGCGTGAGATATTCAAATGTGACATTAAGCTACATAACTAACTAACATTTGAAAAGGTGCAAAGAAATCGGCTAGTTTCAAGTAACCAATTCAACTCCTCGTATAAAAAAAACCACATCAACTATGTGAAGAACACATAAATTCAGTTTGCCAAAGAGTTGACCAGCAAGACTAAGGTAAAGTTGCTGTATTAAATACCACTGATAGGAAGGTTTAACTTACTATAATTCCTATATATTGTCCGAGGTTTGTAGTAAGGAGACAAGGAGAAATGCCCATCCAAGCATGGTTTATATTACATCCTTGGGAAAAGATATGGTATAACATAATCAATTTCATTCTATCTTGAGCATGCTTGGTATATTTGGACTCTGCACGAGCTATGTTGAAACTTGAAACAGTTGCAAAACACATGAGAGAAACATCGCAGCAACGCATTTGAAATACGCTCGAAATGAAGACATATTTGTTCTTTTATTTCTTTTCACTCTCATATACATTGGCTATTTATAGTAGACACATTAGGTTTAGCAGTGTTAAAGTCATATTTTTAAGGTGCTGTTCGTTTCTCCATTCAGATGATCCATCTGAATGGAGATGAGTTATGATGTTCGTTTATAACAATTTTACAGAGCAGTGAGATGAACCAGTTGGATGATTTTTATTAAACTCATCCAAAAAATGATCATTTTCCGACTGAGTCTGATCGGAGCAGTTGACTGGAGCTGATTCAGTTTAAAATACAAAATGACCTAAATACCCCTATCTAATTTAGCAGTGTTAAGTCATATTTTTAACACTTTTTCTATGTCTTTTTAATATGTTTTATCGAGTCTTTTTGCGGAAAACATATAGTTTTTGATACTTTTTTAGTGTTTTCAGGAACCAAGAATTGTCAAGCTCTTTGAAATATATGATGTCGTTGTGTACATGGGTATCGTTGACATCTTCCAAGAGTACAACATGAAGAAGAAAGTGGAACATACTTGCAAATCTATGAAATATGATCTGATGGTTTTCACTTTGAAACACAACACCAAATTGAGTGCCTCTTCACTTTGAAACACAAATTGAACACAACTGTGTCCCAGGATCCGTCCCACACATGAATTAGCAGAACCCCACACACGAAGCATTTGACCAATCATGACTCTGAGATTTCGCTTATGGGGATTGTTAGTAGTAACCATCAGAAAGTAGCGGTTTTCAGTCACCGCTCTCGCACATAATTCTGTTGGCAACGAAACATGAGCCTCGTTAATTCCGAGGTCCAAACTTTGGATCGACTTGCAGAAGTAATCGCTCATTTTTGGTTAATACTTGTTTGAAATTGTTAACAGGAGTAAAACACAGAGGAATCGGAGGAGTCCGACAGATATATAGGTTTTCATTCATGGCGGTTCTGAGAGACGGTTACTTAAAACAAGTTGAGAAAACCGAAAACAAATACATTGAATATGTCGAAAATTGCTCCGGAAAGGAGAAGAGAGACAACGATAGAGGATTCTCCAATCACCAAGAGAATCGCCATAGAGAAAAGGCGTCATTTGGGTTGCAAAAAGGCCGGTAATTTTTTTATATGCCTTTTATATTGAAGAAAACGAATCAAATAATTCAAATGCCTTTTAGCTGTTTATGACATTGGTGAATGGTGGTACACTCAATTAAGAATTTTGGGATTTGAGCTTATTTTAAATTAAACAACATGTTATGTGCATTTAAGTTGTGCTGTTTGGTTTACTTATATTGACAGTAAGGGGTAAGCATCGGAGTTTGGTTTTGGTTTGAACTTTTCAGATTCCAGAAAATAGGTCCCATTCGGGATCAAAATATAAAATGGTTCTGTTGTAAACTGTGTCTTTCATTAATAGAATAAGGGATATATATACAAGGATAATAGCTAGATACAGAGAATAAGGTAAAACCCTAATGGGCCATGGGCCGGTTATGGAGTCCATCCATATGGTTTATAACACTCCCCCTTGGAAGACATAACCGTGCCCGATACTAAACCGGGATTTCTATAATGCGCTGGGAAATATAATGTTGCCTCATTAAAACCTTACCAGGAAAACCCAGTGGGACAAAACCATGGTGAAGGAAAAAGAGTACAACACGCATTACTCCCCCTGATTTGAGCATCACTGTAGATCCTTAAGTCCGCGCATCCCGATCTGATGAATGAGCTTCCGGAACGTTGAAGTCGGCAATGATTTAGTGAATAGGTCGGCTGAATTCTCACTTGACCGGATCTGTTGAACTTTGACCTGACCGTCCTTCTGTAATTCATGAGTGAAGAAGAGCTTTGGCAAAATGTGCTTCGTCCGGTCTCTCTTAGTGTAGCCGTCCTTGAGTTGAGCAATACAGGCTGCGTTGTCTTCAAATATGATGGTCTTTGATGTAGTAGTAGTTGCGCCTTAAGAAAGGCTGCCTACGTACCCTTGGAAGGGATCAAGCCACACGTAGTTCCTATTCATTGACCATGCCATAATCTGATCTTATGAATAACCTGCATCAGCAAATCAAACTAAACCAAAGCAAACTGGACCTTCTTTGGTTAGATCAATATAGAATAAACCCAAGTAAACAACGCAGGAAGAATAAACTTTAAAATTTAACCAAACCTTCCTTTAAACCTTTCCAGTGCCTTTGGGTTGATCATGAACTAAATTTAGATAGGAGACTCACGGCAAAACAAATGTTTGGTCTAGTGTGTCTAGCCAAATTCATTAGAACTCCTATGGCACCGAGGTATGGCAATTCTGGACTACATGGATCACTATCCAATCTGAGGCTTCTCACTACCATTGGGCCTGGTCAATGGGCGGGCCTGGTCCTTATTAAATCTCCTTAAGTACTCTTTCAGTGTATGCCATTTGATGCACAAGGATTCCATTATTCACGTACTCAGGTTGTAATCCCAAACAGAACTTAATTATTGCCTAGGTCTTTCATTTCAGATTCTTTCTTTAGATATACTCAACTGTTTGGTCGATTACCCAGAGGTTTAAATCATTCATATACACTGCTATGATTACAAATCCTTTGTTTGCAAATTTCTTGATAAAAATACATGGACTGATCTGATCGTTTTTATAGCCTTCTCTGATGAGATATTCGCTTAACCGGTTATACCACATACGTCCGCTTTGTTTCAGTCCATATAAGGATTTGTCCAGCCTTATGCAGTGCTGTTCTCGAGAATCTTTCTTATCTTTGAGCTCAATACCCTCTGGTAATCTCATATATTATCCAGTGGACTTATATAAATATGCAGGCATTACATCCATTAGCCGCAAATCTTTCTCTTTTATATAGCCAGACTTAGCAAAAATTTAAATGTCTTAGCATCCACCACAGGGGAGTATATCTCCTCTATTTCTGGTCTTTGTGTGAATCCTTGTGCGACAAGCCGTGTCTGATATATCACGCTTTCACTATGTTTATTTCACACTATCACAAAGACTCATTTGTCCCACTGGCTTTACATTGAATGGTGTCCTTTGTATTGGACCAAACACATTCTTCTTCTTAATGATTCTTAGCTCCACGTTTTATGGTCTTGTACCATTTTAATCAATCAGGTCTTTGAGTGCACTCTAGTATAGACGTGGGCTCCTGATCCTCATTCATTTCAAGTGCTACCTTATATGCAAATATTTCATCGATGTCGACATCATTTCGGTTCCATTGTATTCTAGACATGATATAGTTTATAGAGATCTCTTTACACCTTCAGGACCTTGAGCTTTGGCGTCCCAAACCTCATTGATTGGTACCTTAGGGTTATGTC